AGTGCCCAGGCTTATGAACTACATTCCTCCCATGAGAGTGCTTCTCCTGTCTCCTCTTCTGAATACACTACTTTTGAGTGCTAATAAGTGGGGATGAAAATCAGAAAAACCAGTACCTTTCAAAACAAACAAACAAACAGAAAAACACACCGAAGGAGGCCACAGTGCACAGTGGGGAAATCGAAACTCTGCAAGGCCGATCCACATAAGAAAGATCCAGAGACCTCCCTAAGTATAGCAGATACTCACTTGTCCATGATCTGGGGCTGGCTGGGGCTGGCTGAAGCTGGGAGTAGATTGCGGCATTGAGACCCTGCTGGGAGTGCTGTCTCTCTGTCCCTGTCTCTCAAATGTATGGAAGAAAAAAACAAACCTAGAAAAAATTTAAAAAGGAAGAAAGAGAGAAAGAAAGAAAGAAAGAAAGAAAGAAAGAAAGAAAGAGAGAGAGAGAGAGAGAAAGAGAGAAGAGAGAAAGAGAGAAAGAGAGAAAGAGAGAAAGAGAGAAAGAAAGAAAGAGAGAAAGAAAGAAAGAAAGAAAGAAAGAAAGAAAGAAAGGGAAAGAAAGAAAGAAGGAAAAAAGAAAGAAAGAGAAAGAAAAAGAAAGGCCATTACATACTAGTTAAATTCACTTCCTATAAAAGTCCCTGAAAAGTATAATAATTTCTTCAGATATTGCAGATTAGTGGTTAAATTATTTTAGTCAGCAAATTTTTCTTCATCTTTTAAGTCATGTCACATTTAGTATGTTATGCCATATTGAAGAATTCCACATTATTTGACAGAAATAAAATATTTACTGAGTCTAGCACTAAGCACCAAAATACTATGCTGTAGGCTACCCCTGATTTATTTTGTCCCTATTCAAGTAAAAGTCTTCCAAAACACAATTCAACAGACTATTATTGTTTATATTCTCCTGAGAAATCAGCATGGTCTACTGATTCTCAATTTACTTTTAATCTGTTCATAAAATTACTTGTGGCTTATTATAAATATTCATATATGTGAATAATCCCCCTTCTGAATTTAAATACTAGTGTTTAAAATTAGTTTATCAGCCTATGTTAGTCTATAAAGTAGCTTCATGTGTAATGAATTAGAACATTAAATTAAATCAGACTTATGTCACAAAAATATCTCGTCCTTTCATTGCTTGCTTTCTGGGCCTAGAAAATAGAGGACGAAGAGCCTAACAATTAGTGAGAGGAGAAAAACAATTACACGGTACAGGTTTGTTTTATTTCTTTATTCTGGTAAATAAGGAAAAAACATGTAATCTACACAGCATGTGAAATAATATACTGTAAATAACAACTGGCAAGAGTTGAAAGGTACTTGATATTTGAAAAACTATGTACATATTACATTTTATTAAAGGGAGACTAAAAAGATGACAAGTTGAAATTATTAGTAAAATAGTTTAGTTGGTCCCCAATCCCATTGCCATATTTTTTAGTATCTAGAAAATACAGTGATTTAAAATCGCACGTGTTAAACTCTAACGTTTCCTTGGGTCAGCAAGAGAAAGTTATCCATTGCATTTATATCTGAGTTACTTCCTAAATCATTTATAATGAAACTAGAATATCTGTGATCACTGTACAGTTTCTAAAAACATTTCTAGGGCTGCTTCTACAATCATCAGTACCAGCAGAGCACTCTCCATAATTCCCAAATGGGTTATGAGGGAGAATAGTGTAAATGAATGTGAGTAGAAAGACAACACAATCAGAAATAGGTGAGACAAACGGCAGTAGAGTACCGAGAGCAGGGACCAGGTATCTGAGAAGGGTCAAGTAACCTGTTTCACTGGCCATCCAATGTCAGGAAGAAATAAGATCAAAGGAAACATTACAGGTTTCCAGCGAAACTCAAATCTATTCACTTGAGGTGGTTTGGGATGTTGCAGGGATTGTGTAATAGAAATCAACTGGAATTTCAAGGGCAAGAGACTTTGCCAATAAATAAAATGATGTCATTCTTCCTGATGATAAATATGAATGGGCGATCAGCTCTAAACACCTTAAACTCAGGGAGCTGTTTTTCTACAATGTTACTTCCTGTGACAGCAGCCGCCTCGGTGCCCTCCTCGGTCACCTCTATGTATGACTTGTGCATTAGTTTTGATATATATAGACGACCTCCCGAAGCTATTCCAGAAAGATCAGCTTTGGACTCATCAAAGATATCTTTCAGTCCCAGGGCTTTTAAATAGTGTTTGATTTCATAATCCTTCTCTATCTTGAACTGAGGAAGAAACACCTCGACATACTGAGAGGTCATTTTTCTTGGGCTTGTCCAGTCCATTAGATTCCGAAAGGTCAGTTTGTTTTCAATCTGTAGAAATAATTAAAGGGTAATTTAGAATCACATTATTATGAAATGAACGAAATAAATATAGTACATTTTTCATAATTACTCCCTCTTGAATGTGCATTTAAGAACATGAATGGGCCTTGGGGGAGTCAAGGAAGGAAAAATAATTAAATAGTTCAAATACTTTTTAACAAATGAAATGTTTCTTTTGTTCTGCCATGATGAAGCATGATTTATTTCACTTCAGGGCATTTCCCTTCTTTGTCCATGTATGAATGGACCATGAGCAGGTGAAGACATTTTGGAAATTGTCAGAGTCAAAAAGGAGCTCAGTAGTTACTTAAATTAAGGTGTTCTGACCATTTCTCCATCATGAAATATAGAAAATGATGTTTGCACAGCTTGCAGGAGTAAACCAATCAGCTTACAAGAGCTCTAGCCCCAAGAACTTGGGTGATCATTATCTCCCAGCACAGTTACTCATGCCATCTGAAGGTGTGTGTGGGGGGGGGCGGGGGGAGCATGGATCTACCAACTAATTCTTTTGCCATCTGAAGGTGTGTGTGTGTGGGGGGGGGGAGCATGGATCTACCAACTAATTCTTTTACTCAACAGATGAAGAATCCAGACAGATGTAGGGAGATATACCCAGTGTGCACAGCAAACATTAGTTCCACAACTAGGAGCCCACACTTTCTCTCCAACACCATTGCTGCCCCCAAATGATTAATAATTGAATTCACCAACTCTTGAATATCAAAATTGATCACAAGTTCTTCCAGATTTAGCATTGGAGGATTTTTCATGAACATGGTTTAGAAATCTTAACTCTAGACATTTCTTCTGCAATTCAGGATAACTAGAATTCACAGTATTTTATAAATATTAAACTATACTTGTACTCTTACCAAGGACCTGAATGTATGCAGCCCAATTTAATAAAATTTTAATTTTATGTGTGCAAATTATTCATTTTATGGCTAATCTGTAATATTTTTTGTCTGAATTGGACTATTTTACAGTTAGTCCACTGCAGAGGTAACCTCCTCATTATTTGATTGTAGAGATATTTAGGATGCTGTGGTATGGAGATTTGTACTAGTCTGATCCACACATTCTTAGATAAATCTATTTCAGAAAAGAGAATCTCAGACAATAAATGGAATAGCAAATCTACCTTTTGATCTCTACTACTTGCTTATCTAGACTGCATTTTCATTACTACAGATTATTTTCAGTTACAATAATTGATGTCTACTAAAAGTGACTGTTATGAAGATAATTATATCAATTACTGATTTAATATGAGAACGTTTTTTTGGCTATAGGGTGTATTCACTCACCAGAGAGAGACAGGAAGACAGAGAGAGAGAAAGGGAAAATGAGAAACCACTCCCCCACACCAGGAGAGATAGCCACCTTCCAATCCCTTCTACCCTGCCTCCTCTCAGGATTATTGGCACACACACACATGCACCAGGCATGTGGGTCCAAGACTCAAACCTTGCAGTTAGCCAGGTAGGATTGAGCACCTTAACTGCTCTGCCAACTACTTGCCCAAGGACCAATATTTTATATGGTCACATTTTATGGATTTAACAATGCCAATTTTAAGCAATTTATCTTACTCCTCGTGTAAAAATAAAAAAGAGAGATAAAAAGAAAAAAAACTGAGTGAATGAAAGTCATTAAAATAATTTGCAGTCTTTGTATATACAAAAACTATATTTTTAAAGCTTTAAAATGATGTTTTTAAATTGTTGGGAAAAGACAGGTAGAAAGTAATGTCTCTGAATTGTAAAACTATCAATTTCACTATATTCTTTCTACTTTTCCAATCATTCTACAATGAACTTTTATTATTCTCTAAATCAAAACAAAGAAATTGAGAATTATAATTTAGTGTAGCTGAGGTGCATATGCATGAACATTATATATATATATATATATATACACATATATATATATGCAAATATACATATTTATACAGATGTAACTATCAGACAAATTGACTAAACCCATGAGCCTCCTTTTCATATCTCACATGATTCTGTAAGGATCAAATGAGATTATATAATTTAAACACAAAGTATGTGGCCTAGCTTATGGTGTCTGCTAAATAAATGGTATTTATTATACTTTGTTGGGAGAAAAAAGAAGGGAAATTAGAGCTAGACTTCTAGGATTGCAGGTCACAGACACAAAGAGTGATGTTCAGGAGAAGAGGAAGCAGAGCCGAAAGATCATGATCTGAGATAGCGATGATGTCTCGGTGGCATGGCCACCACTGACAGCGCCTTACGCCATGCTGGTCTGTTTCTGCTGCTACTTCAGCCACAGGCCAGGCCCTCACCATTGCTTGTCACTAGAGACACAATAGCACAGAGTAACACCATACATTTTAATTCTTAAAAGCTTGGGACTCCATCTTATACCTGTCTGAAGATACTAGGTCTATCAAAATTTCAATAGTATATAAAAGACTATTTTCATGGTAAAGCATTAAGAGAACCTAAACTCATGCCTTCTAACTCCATAGGTGAGGTCTTAGAGGGTTCCAGATTTATAGCTATTCAATTAAAATTATGCTGAAGAAAGAATAAGTCAATCTCAACATCTAAGCTAAGTAATGTATGAGATTGAATGTATAAAGTAAATTAAAATAAAATGCATTTTTTAAAATGTGGATGAAAGCACAATCAATACTATCCTAAAAGTCTTACTTCCAGTAGTGAAATTGGCCTTGGTAACTTACTTGGGATAGGTCACGCTCAGGCAGTAGAATGTACATGCTTATGCCGCCATGATATCGGAGCTCAAGAACCTGCATAGATGGCTCGTTAATGACAGACAAATTGAACTTCCGTTCTTGGTGCATCATCGCAACTGTTTTCCCAGGACACTAAAAATAAAGTCACAAGAAATTATTTATAACCCCACCTTATTTTACCTACTGACCAAGTACATACAAGAATATTGTCGTTGGTTAACTCATTGCCTAAATACACGTAATGGTTTTGCACTTGTCAGTAAACTTTTACTTGGTTGATTCTTTAGACATTTTTCCTGATGTGTTGCCAAAAGTGGTTGCACTGATGTACATTTTAGTGGTAAAAGCACAGACTTTGAGTTTGACTTTGAGTTTAAACTTCCTAACTGTGTGATGTTAGGTAAGTTACTTTGCCTTTCTGTGCCTCCAATTCCTTATCTGTATGATAGGAACGACAATAGTACCTATGCATAGGATTGTTGTGAGGATTGTGCAGGTTAATATATCTATCCCTTAGAACATTACCTTGCACTTAGTGTTTAAACTAAAAATGTCTATATAGTAAGTAATGAATAATTATTTAGTAATATTGAAATGCAAAATGAATGTTATAGATTTTTCTCTTATTAGAAATCAGATATAGATTGGTACTGAGTCTAATGTGCATTGGAATCCCTGACCTCCTGAAGTTTCCATACCTATGGAAAGACCAGCCTAGGTGACCTTACTTTCCATCTCCTGACTCATTCAGTAGCCTCTAATTGCTACCAGCTCCAAACACCTATATCTAAAACTTCTAATATGGGAAAATGTAAAAAGATTATTTCATTGCATTTTTCACTTGAAGATAAAACTATTAAAGTTAAATCAGATCTTTTCTGCCTCAACATACAAGAGTGAATGATTGAATTTTAGATGTCAAATAACTGGATCATTTTACTTTACATGTGAGAAGAGAAATTTCTACAGTGGTTCAGTTCATTTTACAAAGACAACACAGCTCTTCTGAAATAAGGCAGAGAGATCCCAGCATGGGATTTCCAACTCTGAGGCCTTTGATGTTTCTACTATACTAGCTAAGCCTATTATGTGTACATTCATAAAAGAAAAAAATACATATGATTTATTGAGGTCACTGGTAAGATATTTTAGATCAAAAATAGAACTAAGTGAAGAAATTGATATATCTTGAAGTTGAAAATGCATATCTTTCTAAATATAACTTTTTCCTTTGTAGAAAGAAGCACACCTTTGCTTTGACTCAGAAAATAATCACTGATGTTAACTAACTCAGTAGATCCCACTGTTAGAAATCACAAAAAAAGAACAGATATATTTTTATCATACTTTCTTTCGTTAAGCCTACAACTAGAATATCTTACACTAATTCATACTTTAATACTTCTTTTAATAGTGAGTATATTTTAAGAACTATAAACTTATGGAGCACCTTAAGCTGTGTTTCATAACCTGCATTCACAGTAAAATAGAAACTTGGCTTTATAAAAAACTACTCATACAGTGTTGGTAAAGCAAAAGAGAAAGTGGATTTTAAAAAGGCTGAATCCAATTTTTGTCTATTTAAATACAGCAGTTTCTCTCTCTTTTTAAAATTTTGCCACTTTAATTTTTTTTTTTTAATGGGTTGGCCCAAGAGAGACAGCGAGAGAGAGAAAGAGGGAAATTGGGAAATCATCCCCTCTGGGGAATAATCACGCCATAATCCATTCTCCTCTCCTCCCTCCTGTCAGGATCTTGGATGCACATGCACACGTATCTAATGTAGTTCTCAGTCGGCTGGGTCTGGGACTTGAGCCATACTCCAACGTATGGAATCCAACCACTCTAACCCACCTGGTCTCGGGTTAGTCTTTAATTTCTCCCAAAGGAATACAATTGAAAAAAAAGAAAAATCTTCTTAAATTAAGTAGGAGATTTAGATACCTTGGGAGAGTTGAAACGGCAATTTATAGTTTCACTTTTGATGAAGGCTGATTCCCACTTGCCTTTGAAGTACACAGCATTCACTAGCACCATCACAGCTGATGAGCTTATGCTACCTCGAGGAATCACAGTCTTGATTTTGCCTTTTGAAAAACAAATGAAGAAAAATGTAACTTTTAAAGTAAATTTTAGAAGTTTTTTTAAGACTATTAATGAGCATGCCGTTTTTCCATATCACATAATATTTATAATAATAATATCAGTAATCATCTTGAGCAATCATTGTATCCAGCACTTTCTATCCTCTTCATATGTAATATTTGATTTAATACTCACAAAAAATCCTTTAAGATAGGCACCATTACTATTTCAGTCTCCTGCT